TTCATCATTTTTTCGAACTTTTTAATCTACGATGTTTAAAACAAAATGTTTTTCTCAAATCTTTGATGGTCAAATCTACGGACAATTCTATTCGGTCAGGCAAAGCGGCGATCACAGCCTCTAGAAAAATTATTAGAGAATGTATTAACAAAGCCACTATCCAAATATGATTGGTTTAACACAGTATAATTTTGGTTGTTAAAAGCTATATATTTCTTTGATGATTTGACTTATTACCCTGAAGAGGTCCAGACAAGTTAGCTGGACGAAACGTTGGAATTATTTTAAATTTCAATCACTGAGATTATTTGAAATAAAATTTTCACGAAAGTTTAGTTTTTTAAAATGCTTTATTTCTCAAAAATTTGATTTAATTCAGTCTAAATGAGGGCTTTTTTAGTTGCGATTCGACACTCTAAAGCTGTTGTCACTAACGTGTATTATTCATGTATGTGTCAGAAAATCTTATGGATATCCACGTTGTTCTTCAATTTGTCTTTGTTGGCTGGAATGGTAAAGAAACTGCTTTCTTTTGTGAACCCAAGTTTGAGTCTTGGGTCAAAGAAATATTTAGGGTATAATGTAGGCATCTTTATTTTTAAATGTAAATATTTCGATCAATAATACTCGGTCAGATATATTAATTTCATAAGTAAAATATGTAAGTTCAATGCCAAAAATGCAAAATAGGTGTATAAAGGTTAACAATAAACTTACCAGATACTAATCAAAGATGATAAACCAGTGTTGAAGTCAAAATTAACTCGTAAGTTGTTTAATATGCTTAAAAAGGGTGGCATTACATTATTGTCAAGCATATCTATTATCACTTTTTATGTATAAATAAACTGAAATACTAATTTACATTTTTACTTTATGGAAACTGAGTTGAGAACTAAGGGATATCATTCATGAAATTGTTTCCTGACCTTGATTTCCCTTTGACTATCTTTTCATTTGTATAGTGGATATACGAAGATACTGAAAACAACCCTCTTACATTCACATGATAAAATCACTGTGTTTAATCGTCGTTAAAATCAGCGAGAGGTGAATGATCAATTTAAGTGATGCTATAAACAAATTCACTTATATATAAATAGAAAAAACATTGAATATTGAAATGTCACAACAAAAATTCAACGTCGCCTATTAACAAAATTTAACTTATTTGTATAAAGGAATTAATAAAATGTCTACACAGATACTGAAATCTAACGATTTGATCATCTGTTGAATTACCTGTACAGATTATAGAGAATCTCTTGATGGGAGTATATTTCTTTGTTTAGAATGCAACGTTTTTATAAACCAACCAACAAAAGTCGTGGGTAGTCATATCATTAAAATTATCTGTATAATTTGTTATTTTTAAGTTATAAATTATCTTACTCCCCAAATAAATTCCCGTGCTGTGCCTTTCATTCTAACCAATACTAGATATGCCCTCTGTTTATTGATTTCCTGAGGTTTTAATATTCTACTTTGTTGACCTGGGGGAGGTCGTAAATATATTTATAAACAATGGCTACTACTCCTAATCACATTTTCAGTGAATCCAAAAAATATCTTGTATTCGGAAATGGACTTTTTTGGTTTAGGTAAAGGTGGAAAGTAGAAAAAATGGTTGGCTTTATCTATTAGTAGAGTTGTCAATGCTGATAATAGCTTCTCCCAAATATCAAACCATATAGTCAGGGACACTTTTAAGTCTACACAGCACTGTTTGAAGTTGCTTTTTATTGTTCTATTCACAGGATTTCTTAAATGTCATTGTCATCGGAATTTATTTACTGTTAATACTACTGATTTTTAAGGTCAGCTAAACCAGTTGTACGGAAAGTAAAACCTGGAGTATTTGTGCATCGGTTTAAATTGCCGCATCATATCAGCATAGCCAGAAAGCAGAATAGTATAAGTAGTCATATTATTAATGGTAGTAGCTAAGAGTGGACATAAATGATATTATTTGAGAAAATATGAATTCGTGAAATAAAAAGTATAAGATCTAATGGAATAAACAATCAAGATCGAGGTCTACAGGACAAGCTGTGAGCCATATATGGGGAAATTCGAACACTTCACTGCTGCCTGAAGTTTGTGCTGATGATGTCGTTCTGAATGACGAAAGAAGCTGCACGACCAAACCATCCAGCTCAGAGAACAAAACTCCGCCAAAAACTAATAGGATACAAATAATGAATACATCTGCAGCATTGTGACCGATTCTGAACTATGTCACCCAACAACTACAAAGATCCCAATCAGGTAGTCTGCATCTACTAACGCGCTCTCATTTCAACTGGCAACAACATCATGGACTGATATCACTTCTTCAACTAACCCCCCTGGATTTTTAAGATATTTATTTATATATTATTATCGATTTGTTTTCCCTTGACGCGTGTCTCTCCTTTTTTCACAGTAATGACCTCAGCAAAACACGTTACGCACTGTTGACTCGTATTCTTCATTTATTGAGTGAAGTTTATGGTCTTTTTATCAATGATTTAATAAATCCAATGTACAACATTGGTGAAGAAATTAACTCAAACGGCATTATAGTAAGCCATTATAATAATTATTATTATTGTCATTGTGTCATATGAAATGAACATAAGTTATTAGAGTCTATGATTCAGTTTATTATGCCATGTGAACACTTTAGGCACTACTTACATACAACACAAGTCCAGTTCAATAATAAATATGGATATATGCAGCATGTTCCAATTATCGTTCAGTGAACCTGTTTGCGTAACCTCATCAACAAAATCGCCTACCTTTTCTTGTTTTAAGCTTTAAGCCTTACACAAAAACTCTCCACTAAGATATCCCCTCACATTTCTAAGAAAAGCATCTAACAAACTCTTTCGATCAAATGTGTTTAGTATTCGTATGTCTAATTTCAACAAATGTAAAGTTTATTTCAGTTAACTGGTAATAGCCATACTGATTCATTGGTGAGGTTTCTCACATCTCGCTGGTACCATTTATAGTTTATTCTTAGTTGGTAATTTTGTTTATTGTCCTCTAATGTAGTTTCTCAGCAGTCATGAATGACCATCTTAAAAAATAAATTGGATAGGTTATGAAAAACACACATATAAATCGGAATTGAGACTATTGATTCTTAGGTTATTTATTCCATCTTTTACTTCTGAAGGTGGTGTAGTGATGCAAAGGTTAATGGGTTCGACTTCTAGTCACTAAATCTCAGGTGTGAACCCCGCCCCACCTAATCCTGTTTGAGGGACCGAGTGATATAACTACCTCTTATAAATAAAATGTGACTCGAACCTTGGCAAACGAGCTGAATAAAATAGAAATTACTCTTGAAACTGGTGTAAACAAACCATTAGATGAGCAGTTAAAGAAATCATATATATCAGATTCTCCACTTCAACAAGTAACAAATGACTTAACAGATAATTAAGAGTTTTCATAACACCATTCCATCAATTGAAACTCCTACTATCATACAATATGAGTTAAAAGAAATGTAGAGAAAAATCTACCTTTGAAAATTATTTCGACAAAATAATTGTTTAAAAACTTGGGCGAAATGTATTTGTTCTAATATATAAAAATGTGACTGAAAGACACCTTTGATATATCCGGGGTCACGAATTTAGCTTGATAGTCAGCTTTTAGTTTATTAACACTTATTAATTGACCTACGAGATTCGCTTTTTACATTCACTCACGTTTTAAATGACTTATCATCATGTTAATTTCTGTGTTTAGTATTTAACGTGTGAATATTTTATTTTATTAGATGAGAAAACTATTTTCTGGCTAGTAGTATTACTGTTGCTTGGAAGAATCGTATTACTAATGTATACTTCCTAAACTGTTATAAATTGAGTGATATGTTAAACAAAATCTTACATTGAAATAAAACAAATTTTATATTGAACAAAAATCACACTAATCTAAAAAGTGGTCTTGTATTTATATTCCGTCCTAACGAAACCCAATAATCACGAAGTCTTGGAATAAAAGAATATAAATGTATATTAATGCGTGTATTTACGAAGTATATACTGTAGTGAAGAAAAACACGAGTGGGGACAATCGAATTTAGTTGACACGAAATTACAGAGCATCTCACTAAAATCTGAGAAGCATATAGTAAATAGTTACTTTGCAAAATGTCAATCCATCGTCTCAAACTTGACTGTTCCTTCTGCAAATATCAGTCCACTGTCTCAGATTTCATTGTTCATGCATTTTGGTACCAACTGCGTCCCGTTTCCGTTCTTTCCTTATCGATCTTCTACTGAAATACATTCTATGGCTGACCACCGTTATATACTACTTATGTGGATATAAGTAACCCACACCACAATACTTGTTAAGTGGTTGAATATAGTCGATAGGATATTCTAGACCTGGATTTCGTGCTTTTCGGCACTCTTCAGCAAAGTGTGCCTGTGATCTTGACGGGATTAGTACTCTCTTGATGATTCAATCATATGTCATCCAGCTTCATAATCTGAGATGTTACTACTGAGTGATTTGGACTGCGATTGACCTCCGGCGGGACTAAAATAGTTACGACTGATTGGTCATTGAGTAGTGACCACCACAACGACTAAATAAACGTTGCATTGATTGATACTCAGTGACCAATCAATTGAAAGCACATACTTACTATTCAGCATCACATTTTAGTGTACCAACTAGGTATACTCACTGGTAAAGGGATTTTTAGTACCTTTTTCCTATACAAAAAGTTATATCAAACTATTCTCTTTCCACGTAAATTTTAAATGATGTTTACAAATGGCAATAAATGTCGGAAAAAAATGACAAAACATAAATATCCAATTTCTAATTGATTTATTATTTAACTATTGTTAAATTTAAAATCAATTGTATAAAATCAAAGATCAAGATTTGTGTTGTTTTACTTTTACTTATTAGTTTCTGGCACAATATAGTCTTCCGATTACACAGCCCTTACTAGTCAATCATTGTTAGTTGATACTTGATAAATGGATAAAGTAAATGATCCGATTAGCGATTAATTTGTTTCTGATCTGTGTTTTACTTTGTTCCAGAATTTAGTAACAGCAACGAATGATGAATCCATGGATAAGTTTTCTAATGATTACGTTCATATAAATGAGCATTTTTCAGTTCCATTGGATGGAGTAGAATTGTCTAATAATAATAATAATAATAATAATAATAATAATAATAATAATAATAATAATAATAATAATAATAATCCAATTCATCATATAAACTATGGAATTGACACATTTACATCGCCTACATGCTTTGCTTATATCTTGCATTTGTTTACTTTGATCACTGCAATCCTTGACCAACCAATAATTTATCCTAGAGATTTTGTTGAAATCTATCCCAAGTTAAAACTGTTGGACATTTCCATTCGTGATATTTCTCAATCAGATCGTTGGTAAGGATTAACTTTATTTTTATTACAAAATTTTTGTATTTAATCAATGTAGTATTGAGAAATTATTTTAGAATAGATATGACTTGTTAAGTACGTGACCGATTGTACTTTTAATACGTAAATGTTATTTCCGGAGGTTAGGTGGTTGGAGGTAGTCGACAGGAAACCGTCTAACTAGGTTTCCTGATAGATGGTGCTCGTCAACATGATAGATCTCCAATCGCGAAAGAACTGATGACTCCTTCAGTATCCAAACAAGTGTCACTCAACTTGATCGTTCGAAACGTTGCCACTAAGCTATTTGGGCATAACTACCTCACTGTAGAACTTAGTTACTAACAATTGATTGGTCACTAAGTGTTGACTAATATCCTGTTTGTCTTGTCCTTTTAGTACTGATTACACACAGAATAAAATTAGTTCGAAGGTGATCTCCATCATGACGCAACATTATTGGGAAAATCATGATAAACAATTGAGCACTGGATAGTCGCTTCACCATAGTTTCAGGGGAAAAACTTATTATTGTGTGCTTTCAATGCTACGCGCGCGAGTCAACCGGATTAAGAGTAAGGCGGTGATCTACCGATGAAATTAGATAAAGACTGTGCTTTCTCGCTCTAGGATTGACTTCAAGTGGTTATGTAGGCCATTGGATTTCGACCTAGTTACACAGTGGCATCGTGTTTACAGAGCGATAAGGAGCTAGTGATCGAGTTTTCTGTCAAATCCTCCATAAAATTATGTGGAAGTAACTTTTATTCTTGCTCTGTTACTATTGTAATGTCGATTAATACTGTTTGCCTATGTAGAGAGTTAAACTTTGTAGGTTTAATTAAGATATGAAACAATCAGGTATACTCACTATTGTATTTAAATATTCCCTTGTAATCTCATCCTCCTTTTTACAGCCTAGCAACTTACATACTAAAACGTAATATCATCTCTTTGGGTTCAAGATTTAATTTATATCTGACGCCAGAAAAGCATGCGTTGTATAACTTGAAATATTTATTTGATCATTTTCAGAACAGTAAGTGAAGTTAATGTGACGTAACTTTCTCAATGTCTATTTAATCACAAATATCACGGTTAGTTTCACTTGATGTTTCCGACCAAACGACTAAGTGATGTGTCAAAATCCCGAAACGAAAACAGTAGCTTTTTGTAAAATTCGGCACTATTAATAATGACAATATAAGAAATATAATTACAAGCCTCAGTTCATGAGGTTTTATGGTGCTTACCGCGTGCATATGCAGTCAGAGATGAAGAGGTTCTTGGAATAGCTGTATGAGGATTATTTACCAAAACATACGATAATCTACTTGACAGCCAGTAGTTTTGTTAATTCCATAGTGCAACCAACAATCGAAACGAGTACTAAGAACATAAAATACTAAAACTGTTGTGCCGTGACAAATTTTTGTTGACTAAACAAAAAATCAAAGTAACTGTCACAATTATAATAATAAGTTGACTGAAAGTCACAAGTTTATGTAACATATCTATAAATTCAATTCAACAACGAAGGGATATTACGCTGCTTATGTACAAAATTGATTGAAAATGACATTAGCTACTGAATATTAGTGAGTAACATGATGTAATACGCAAAACGAACCGAATGAGAAGGAAATAGAGGTAAAAGATGCAAGTGGAATTGACAATTAAAATGTAATGTAACCTGGTTTTACTCCTACACTCTCAAGCCACTGTCTTCTGTCATAACGACTATGTTGGTTGCTACTATTGCTAATCATAACTGAGGTGACCGGACAATTGATTTATCACCAAATTTACACCGCATAAGTTTTGAAATAATATTACTGACCGATCATGTAAATGCATATTGGGGAGTTCAAACTATTATTATTATGATTAAAAATCAACTAGAACGACATGAAACTGATGATCACTAAGCAATCAGTCAGACTCCATTTCTCTACCGTATAATATCATCTTTAATATTAGTGAATTAAATGTTCACGATTGTGTAAGAGTTTTAGAAAATATTGAAAATTCTAATTTTTTTGTCATGAACTGACTTTAGTTGGACAACCATTGATAACCAGGGAGCAATTGGAAGATATTTCGTTCGAGCAAGGGACTCTCCAGCAGTTTGTATCCGCGACCCCTCAGGTGTACAAACCCGTGATCGTCAAGGTTAGCAGCGATCGCTTAATGTTCGAACCACTGAGTTTCTACTTCGTAGTTTACATTCATATTTTGAGATATTGCATGGCCATCAGCCATTCTCACTGGTCATATCTGTCTCACACCCGACATGGTTGTGAATGGGGTGGTAGATAAGATAGATACGGTCGATTAGTCCCATAATAGGACAAAATAGTTGTTCCTAGTTCCCTTGTTCTCATTGGTTGTTTAAATAAAGCCAGTCCCTGGTATAAATCTGCAAATATCTATACGAATTTGCGCAAAACTCAAAGCAAAAATAACCCATCTGTTATCACTTAATCAGTGTCGTTATTTCCTGGTGTGTATGTGTATTTGAATTGCGGAAATGCGTAGTGTTTTTGCTTTAGTAGAGTAGTTAAGAACATCCATGAGTTAACTTAATATTATTCATCTGAAAATAAATAACCATAAGCAATCGAGAAATAAAGTTGTATAGTTTGTAAGCCCTGAAATTAAATGGATTTCAGCAGTCAGTTTGTATCCTGTTGTTATAGTAATAATTAGCTAAAATATGAATATTATTGACGTTATGACAGTTGAAACAAATTGATAGATTTTAATTATTGATCAAAGTCACGTTTTTCCGTCATTGTTTCATGTGAAACACATGTTCTCAAGAGATTTGTACAAGATTGTAAGCACCACTGTTTGTCTTTTTTAAAATACCGCCAATTCATATTGTGAGACTATTTGCTGAAAGTAGAAAAATTTTACTTAATTTGGTGCCTATTGTTTTTTTTAGTTTGATCTTATGATTACGAAACTCGCACTACTGTTTGAAGAACTCCTAAGCTTGCCAATTTCGTGATATATTCTGACTTAGTGTCTACGTGATCTAATTACCTATGCACATTGTTTCAAATATATATTTAACCAAGGAATATTAAAATGTTTGAAGTCCAAAACCGTGTGCTAGTTATCAAGATCAAGGCACATTTAACACATGAAATATACCTGATTTACTAATCTTGGTATATTGCTGAGTCAACATAGATTTAAACAATATTTAATATAAACAATAAACCGTTACCTTGATTAGAATTTACAAATAAATCAATGAATTAAGGTTGAATAATCTAACTTCTAATCATTAAAAGCGATGGGTTTGAATGACTTTTCTCAGTCTACTATGGTTTAAGTAGTCAGTTAGTAAGTATTTCTACCCCGTGGTATGTGTGAACACATGCACAAATTGTAGCTTATAATAAAGTATATAGAACATATCCTTGGTAAAGTGCATTAATAATGATAATTATTTTATACTAGATCAAATTCAATCTTCTTCATCTAAATACTTCTTTATGTCCTTTTTCAGATTTATTAACAAAAATATACCAACATGATATTGTCGGGTTTGTATAGTTGTTTTGTTTTCCTTCAAATAAAATACAATGTGAACTTTTTTGAATGACTGATCATAACAACAATTTGATTATGAATATGATGATTATTTCATTTTATCTCAATATATTCTGCACTTATTAAAATGCATTAAATAACGTAAATTATTAGTGACAGTATGTGTGTGTTCTACCATGTAAATTATAAGAGCAATTAATGTGTATAAAAATAGTTTTATGTAATTAAAAAGTACATAATATTTATACTTAACAAATCAATAATTAAGACTTATGTTTACTCTGTAAATAAAAGTACACATAGTTAGTTTGTTTTTTTTCACACAATGAAAAGACGAGGTCATTGGTGCATGCAGATAAAATGAAATGTACTTCAATTTATTATCAATACGTTCAAGAATAATTGAAAAAAATATTCTCTGAAATACAAAAGGAGTTACTCAAACAAAATAACCTATGGATGATAGGTCCTGACCGTTGTTGCTACCTTGACGTGGTGGTCGGGCTTACCTATCGTGATGAAGCAACTGAGCTATACTGGCTGGAGCAACCGTTCCTCAAGGTCCTACCATGCCAGACAGGTCGGTTGAAGAGCGGTAAGACTAAAAGCAACAAAACCAAGGTCCGAAGGCGAAGTCGTACTGCTGACTGTACAGAGGTGTGACAGCAGTAAGGTGTTTCCTTCAGACAACCAGCATAACAGCGATGCTGCCTTCCAAAAAGGAGGGGAGGGGTTAGAAAAGGTCGACCCTAAAAATGCACACCTCGCCTTATCCCATGGATATCCGTCTCCGGCAGTAAGGTCTCAACAAGTACGGAGCTAACACAAAAATTACTCATAAAATGGTCGTGTGTGACCGACCTCAAGCAGCTGTCCCTTGGGCACTGCGGTCACGCTCTCAGGTCACTATGACCACCTCTAATCCAATTTCCTTTTCAGGTACCTCCAGCAGAACCCTTCCACGGTGTGGGCAACCGGGAAGTGATAACCGCCCTCATACCTCTAACAGCACTCAAGCTGACTGACTGACTGATGGATGATAGGTATGTTTCTTGTGATATCCCAATGAGCAGAGAATTGTATTTCTGACGCTTCGTGACTTAATGTAAGCCACTTCTTCACAATAAATAAGTAACCGAAATACAATTAACACAAGTTTAAACAGTACATGGGGTTATTTACTTTGTATTATTTAAAGTCGTGTTAATTTTTTCCGGTTAGTTACTTACTATGAAGAAGTGGATTATATTGTTACGAAACGTCGGAAATACAGTTTCCTACTCATTTGGAGATAACAGAAAACATATTTATTGTTAACTTTCTACCCAGTGCTCTATTTATTTAAAACTATCAAGTTCAACCTTGGCGTTGACACCTAAACAACAACCTGTGGTTTTGAAGCCTGCTGATAAGTGAAGTCCAAGAAACGTAATAGTCCAATTTAAGCATACTCGTACATTGGTAAATCCTATTAACCTCATCAGCAGAAGTGGTTGTCGTGTCTGACAGCACCTCAAGCCAGAGTTGTATCTCCTCCGGAATCTCAACCAGGGAGTTCTGATGGATCAGCTGATGCCAGTCTTATAAAGCTTTCTTTCATAGCCGGGCTTCATATCCGCTTTTCCAATCGGTCTGAGCCTCAGAAAATAAAGCACAATATGGAAATAGCTGAGACAGCATTTGTAGTACATGTCCGAGCCATCGGAGCCTTTTCCGCGAGATGGCGACACCAACTGAATTATGTAACCAAGTGCCTAAAAAGACTGCCGAACGAACCTCCGCATCACCGACATGGTGTTGCTACTGTGTCAACAACCCACCACAGACAACGATGACCGCATACACAGTTATCTAACACCAACTATGAGGGGGCAGATTTCAGTATCATTCAGAGAAACTGCTACCATCGATATGTTTTAAACCCGACATTTTATAGCCGGACTAACATCATGAGAGCGCCGGTGCCATAGGTTGGCACAAACCGATCTGGCATTCAATATACACAGATCGATCTTATCAGCCATGTCACTGTCGGCACTTATTTACCTAGTCATTCAGAAACAACAATAAATGGACATGACTGTCGAAAATCTTCAATTTGGCGACGGCGCTGACTTCACAATTGTGCTGTAAATTAACATAACCTGAACATTTGCCGTTCCGAAGTCGGTTTCGTGTCACAACACCATTCCTAAAACTAACACTTGTGTAGATACAGGCTTTGGTCTTCTTCGTAATAACAACAACAACCACTTTTATAATGCAAAGATCGTATCATGTTCACGACCTCAAATCGGACAATATTTGGGTAGCCTCCTCTTACAAACACAGTTAAACGGTGGAATTCTTAGTGATATTCGAAATTCATTTCTCTTGGTGCAATCAACATCTTTTGATGCGCGGTTAAATAAAAGTAGCAAAATAAAGTTTCAGACCAAATGTTAGGACGCATATTCGGAAGTATATCTCTCAGATACTTTGCACGAACATCTAAATTGCTAGGGTAATTTAAAAATCCATTCAGAGAAAAAGCTTACACTAAGATCAAATGGGTAGATTGACTAGACTACTTCGTCATATTACAGAACCGATGTTTTATCAATAATAAACACTTAGATGAAAACGACGCAAACATGCATCAGCTTCTCTAACAGCCCAACCGCTATTGTTTACTTCTGAAATAAAATTGGTTGGTAAGTGCGATAAACAGTATTTCAGTTAACTCGTAAGCAAGTTCAGTGAAGTACAAGTCATTCAATTATAGATAACACATTTATTCTGAGAAGTAGTTTCAATGAAAAATATGAGCAAGGTAAACAAAATTCTGCAATCAGGTGCACACAAAACTGATTTCATCAAATGGCAATCAATGAACATTTGAGATTGCCATCGTCATATAGCGAGAATTTGTTCACAGCTCAAAAGTTCCATTGATCACTTCTTTTCCAAAAGCTTCATGATATCTCCTACAATATCCTACAGAAAATTAAAAGTTCGGTCAAAAATACTAAAACTAAAAGGTGATTACTTATTGAGAAAATTATAACAGTTTCATGAGATTTGTCACTATTAGACATTAAGCATCATACATGGGACTAACCACCTAATACGGTAGACGGTCAAAATCAAGGAATTGTTTGGAATGGACATACACTAGTTCAATTTTCCGCACTCCACATCAGTATTACATACTACAGAATCAACGCTATGTGAAGTACAGTACATTAAAAATGTATGCAGCGATAGACTTCGTTTCACATGCCATAAAACTAACAAGTAACTAAAGTTGATGTTTCATCTTTCATTCATGACAATTAGCCGGTGACTTTATCAACATGTACCGGCTGTGAGGTTAGACTAGTTTGTAAACGCATTGATGAAATCATCTGAACAACCACTGTTCAGTGAGGTCACTAACCTGCTAAATGTTCAAATAAGTAAACTTTCTTGATGGCAGCTTCAAATCCACAGAAACTACAGATTACGTGGCGTAACGTAACGACATTGCCTGCGATCAACCAAGCGGAAGCAATAACTAAACTTCAATTGTGAATATTTTGCTCCTCACTTTCTGATGCTAGCATACATTACTAGTTTATATTAACACTGAGTTCTTGTGACGTACACTATACGGTGACCTTAAGTGATTTGTTTATGAGCCATGTTTTGCGTCTGCATGTCATTAGACGGGAGAAAGCTAACGCACCCATTAAATGACTGAAAGTTACATACTTAAGAAATAACACAAAACACCTAGACAATTAAGAAAAAACCAAAGTTTGTAGGGTGGATTGCTGATTTCGTCAGTTTATCTCAAGTTACGTCTATATATTTAGACAATCAGAACTGATAACAAAATAGAAATATTGAAAATTCAGCAACTCACATTTGGGGCAGTTGTAGGAGAATATCTTTTGACCGGTTGACCTTGGCGATCTATAAGAAATTTAGAAAAGTTCCACTTAATATCACTACGACATTAATAAAGAAAAAAACAACTACTTTGTTAGGGTACCATGTAGTCTACTTTTAAGAAATTTATAGAGATCATCAGCGTCAGATCCATTGACTTTTATCTTGGAAAACATATCGAACTGGACGCCGTACTTTTCAGTCACGAACTTCTTAATCTCCGCTTCTGCCCAGGGTTCCTGCAAATAGCATTGGTTTAAGTGTTACGCACCTGACCACCGAATTGGTTGCAAGGGAACGCTAATATACGGAGGCCTTTGCCAACCAGTCGAGTGTGCATCTCCTGGAGTTGGCGATAGTTCTTGTCCGTTGCGCCTCACTTACAAGCAACGTTAACAATTAGACAAACGTGACCACTAAACAACGAATGATCATCATTCTATATAGAAAAATATTGAACAAACCGGTATTTCTCTAAGGAGACATCCACACCATTGATATCCTTAACAGTGAATTCATATATTGAATTCCAAGACTTGTGAGATGAAGACTTAAGGAAGAAATCAGAGGAACCACAACGTACCATCACAGTACATCCAATCGTAAACAATGATTTGGGAGGTTTGAATAAGGCGCGACAAAACATCGCTGAGCCGGTCTTCAAGTGTTCCAAATGATTGTGAACAGAATTGGAGCAGATTTCGATCAATGAGCATCCTTGACCTTTAACAGTGGATTACGTATACCTACAGGTAAGCATCTGGATGTACGACAAAGTCATAAGAGAATTCTTAGTAAATTAGTACAAAATGCTTTCCCGATTCCTGATGTATAGACCAAGTGTCTTCAAAAAAGTTTACAGGAAATTTCTTGAAAAAACGTCAGCCGTCATTGAACTCCAGAATGCTTGCTTTTCCATTTCGTGCTTTCGAATCTTCATCAGATCCTTCGTATTTATTCGTTATGCTGACCGTTTTTGTCAAGGCTTCCATGACTTGCGAAGCTTCTCCAACAAGTGTGACGTTGTTGGTGATCGTTGTGTTGTATTTCAGGTCATACTTACTTACGCCTGTTACTCTCAATGAAGCATATGCCGCCGACCAACCCACTTTGTCCTGGGGCTTCATCTCTACTTCTATCCAATTTTTGTTCATTTTTCACATGTCTGTCTCCATTTCTCGACGTAATATATTATTCAGTCTCCCACTTTTCCTTTGACCTTGAGGATTCCATGTGACGCAGTTCGGTGCTTTCCTCAATGTGTGTCCTATCCACTTCCAGCGCTTCTTCCTGATTTCTTCCTCCACTGGGATCTGATTTGTTCTCTCCCACAGTAGGTTGTTGCTAATAGTGTCCGGCCAGCGGATCTGAAGTATTTTGCGTAGACAACTGTTAACAAAAAACTCTTGTATCTTTTGGATGATGGATTTCGTAGTTTTCCAGGTTTCCGCCCCATACAGTAGAACTGTCTTGACATTTGTATTGAAAATTCTGACTTTGGTGTTGGTTGCCAATAGTTTTGAGTTCCAGATATTCTTCAGTTGTAAATATGCTGCGCTTGCTTTGCCAATCCGCGCCTTCACATCTGCATCAGATCCACCGTGTTCATCGATGATACTGCCCAAATATGTAAAGGTTTTTACATCTTCCAAAGCTTCTCCGTCAATTGTGATTGGATTGGTACATGTTGTGTTGTATCGAAGAATCTTGCTTTTCCCTTTGTGTATATTGAGACCTATTGCTGCTGAGGCTGCAGCTACACTGGTTGTCTTCTCCTGCGTTTGTTGTTGCGTATGCGATAGAAGAGCCAGATCATCTGCAAAGTCTAGATCATCCAATTGCATCCTAGATATCCACTGTATCCCGTGCTTCCCTTCAGATGTTGATGTCTTCATGATCCAGTCGATCACCAGGAGAAAGAGAAAGGGTGAGAGTAAACAACCTTGCCTGACATCGGTCTTTGCTTCGAACGACTTTGTCAACTGTCCTCCATGCACGATTTTGCAGTTTAATCCATCATAGGAATTCTGTATGATATTGACTTTCTTCTGAGGCACGCCGTAGTGTCGAAGAAGCTTCCATAGGGTTGTTCTGTCCACGCTATCAAATGCTTTTTCGTAGTTGATCAATTTAATATAGAGTGATGAATTCCATTCAATTGATTGTTCCACAATGATCCGTAGAGTTGCGATTTGGTCTGTGCACGATCTATCCTTACGGAATCCTGCCTGTTGGTCTCGAAGTTGTGCGTCTACGGAGTCCTTCATCCTGTTTAACAATACCCTGTTGAAGACTTTTCCTAGTATTGAGAGAAGAGTGATGTGCCTGTAGTTGTCACAGTTGCTGAGATCGCCTTTCCTTGGTATTTTGACTGGAAGTCCTTCTTTCCAGTCTTTTGGTACCTGTTCCTCATCCCAAATCTTTCTGAAGAGAGTGTAGTGACCTACTTTTGTCAACAGAACGCGATTGGTTCGATGAAAACAATTACTATTATAACCAATTGTACCAGTGATTGTTTTATTGTGCTCGTTTGTTTAACTGTGCTAATAACAGCCATTTTGGTCTTCCATTGTATTCCATCGCTTCTACGCGGTTTTCGACTACGCACGTATCTTTTCTTGCCGATCGCATCTGTACTCCTTTGGCACGATCTCGGTATTCTTTCGATACCACGAGATCGCCAACAAATATATTGCAACTACTACTATCATCTGCCTTCTGATTTTCGGCCTAACGGAATCTTATTGGTCTATTGGCACGTAGTCTGGTAGCGGTGTTCATAGTCAAGCTCAACTCGACACCACGCTACATTTGGTGAGCCAAATTTTGGAACACGCCTCAACTTCGGTCAAATCTTCTTCAACTGGTGAACCTACATCTACGACCACTTGGCAATCGCAACCAAACCTTCCAAAGAAGTCAATTTTGGTGAGTCTATCGCTTATCTATCCACGTCTGTCATATATTTTCATATTAATTTTTAACATACAATATTTTTGACATGACGGATAACGATAAGAATAGTATTAACGTAATAGACTCTGACGTACAGGTTATACACTTTCTACCTGTATCTTTTATTCCTCATGATCCCGAAGTTTGGTTTGCTGCCACAGAGTCTCAATTTGAGACCCGTCATATTACAAGCCAACGGCAGAAGTACACTTATGCTCTCGAATGTTTACCGGGAGACCATTTAGTGGCTGTCCGTGAGGTTGTCCTCAATTCCAATGTGCCCAATGTTTACGATCGTCTCAAGGAGGCGATCCTCAGATATTTCCTCCCATCGAGGGAGGAACGATTGAGGACGTTATTAGCACGTCACCCCCTGGGTGATGCTAAACCGAGCCACCACCTCATGCGCCTGCAATCTCTTGCAGGACCCACGGCAGCCGATTCTGAAATTGTTAAAGAACTGTGGCTCGAATCTCTACCAGCATTTATCCAACCTACAGTTACGGCCCTGCTCGAGGACGCACCACTGAAACAGGTAGCCCTCACAGCAGACAAAATACTAGCTAGGACTGGCAACCGAGACAACTACGTAGTTGCCTCAACGTCGCGTCCGAAAGTCGATATCGACGGCAGCCACTCTTCGGCTCAAGGTGACAGGGGAGGGTGTATTCACACACGTCTTAGTTTTCGAGACCGTTGTAACGTACCCCAACCCTACGTCCCTCGAGTACGCTCACGCTCTCGAAAAGCCGTCAACACTCACCCAACGAGGGCATCTTCCAAGCCACGCCAAAAGGCGGCTTCGGAAGCGAGTGCAGGATGGTGCTGGTTTCATCGATCCTTCGGATCTGGTGCCCGCCGTTGTCGAGCCCCGTGCTCATACAAGGCGGGAAACTCCAAAGCCGGCGAGTAAAAGCGGCCGTACTCGCCGGCCCTGCCCCCCAGGTTGGCCGTTTATTTTACGTGCACGATTATCGCACAAACGCTAGGTACCTAGTGGATACAGGTGCCCAAGTTTCTGTCGTACCACGAGGTATCATCAAGTCACAAGCTACAATGCTTCGACTACGCGCTGCAAATGGCTCAGCCATTCCCACCTACGGTACACGACAACTCGCGGTCAACCTGGGCAACCGACGACGGTATCTGTGGACGTTCATCATTGCTGATGTTCCCACAGCCATACTAGGTATTGATTTCCTACAGCACTATGAATTGCTAGTCGATACACGTAGGCTGCAGCTAATCGATACCTTGTCGAACAGTAAATTCATGGGCTTTAAAGCTCACACAAACGCGTACCGAATCCTCGGCACTTTTTATTCGCGTGACGATAGATTCCACGCCTTATTCGAGAAATTCCCCAGAATAACTAAACCACTCGAGGAGATTTCATCGGTGACCAATCGTGTGGTGCACCACATAGTCACCCGCGGACCACCAGTCACGGCAAGACCACGCCGACTGGCACCGGACAAATTAGCTTTCGCTAAACGTGAGTTTGACAATTTACTATCTGCTGGTATTATTCGTCCTTCTCACAGTCCTTGGGCCTCTCCTTTATACATGGTGCGCAAAAAGGATGGGTTAGTTGGAGACCATGCGGCGACTACCGAGCATTAAACGTAGTTACGCGCTTTGATAACTACCCCATCCCCCACATACACGACATCACGGCATCGCTCAAGGGCACGACTATCTTTTCTAAAATCGATCTGGTACGAGCATATCACCAGATCCCAGTCGCTCTTGAAGATATCGAAAAAACTGCTATCACGACTCCTTTCGGTCTGTTTGAGTTCCTACGAATGCCATTTGTATTACGGAATGCTGCTCAAACTTTCCAAAGGTTTATCGATAGCATAGTACGAGACTTGGATTTTGTTCACGTCTATATTGATGACCTGCTGATCGCATCATCAAACGTAGATGAACATTATCAACACTTTACGCTATTATTCCAACGTCTTTCGGATAATGGAATAGTAGTCAACCCAGAGAAATGTGAGTTGGGTAAATCAGAAATAATATTTCTGGGTCATATCATCAGACAAGAGGGTATTCTGCCTTGCGAGGACAAAATTCGAGCAATCAAGGAGTACAACGTGCCGTCCTCAATCAGGGAACTGAAGGCTTTTCTCGGTTTGGTTAACTTCTACCGACGTTTCATCCCTCACGCGGCAGAACGGTTACGACCATTAACCGACTTACTACGCGGTAAACCACGCAAATTAGAATTGAACGATACCGCACGTACTGCATTCTCAGAGATCAAAACGGCTCTCGCTGAAGTTACACTTCTCGCTCATCCTGACCCATCAGCCACGCTTAGTATAGCGGTTGATGCATCGGATTTTGCCATAGGAGCCGTTATGCAACAGAATATCTCCGGTAGTTGGCAACCCCTTGAATTTTTCTCACGACGCCTTACTCCCACGGAGACGAGATATAGCGCTTTTGGTCGCGAGCTGCTTGCAGCCTACTGCGCCATCAAACATTTCCGGCACGCAGTAGAAGGACGTCAATTCATCTTATTCACCGACCATAAGCCCTTAACGTATGCCCTGCATACCAAGTCTGACCGCTACTCACCACGAGAGTGCAGACATTTGGACTATATCTCACAGTTCACGACAGACCTTCGTCACATTAAAGGCGAGTCGAACTATGTTGCCGATGCTCTTTCATGTATCCAGACGAATGCAGTTACTTTACCGGTGCTCGATCTTCCTGCTATGGCCGCCGCGCAAGCAAACGATCCTGTCTGTACAGAAGCACC